AGGCGCTGCGCCGCGTTTCCGGGGCGGGCGGTGCCCGTCGGCGGCGCCCGGCACCCGCGGCGCTTCGTCGCGCCTCCTCTCTCTGCCTTTACGCGTTCTTTTTCCGCGCGGAGAGGCCCCGGGGCTCTCGCTGCGGGCGAGCTCACCGGGTGCGAGTGGACGGTGTCCCGCCAGGGAGAAACCCGTCTGGGTTGTTGTGGGGTTTGTGGTTGGTGTTTTGCGGTTTTTCGGGGTGGTTGGGTGCTGGGGTTTTTTTGTTTGGTTTGGCTGCGTGGGTTTTTGGGTTTTTTTTTTGTTTGTTTGTTTGGTTGGTTGGTTTTTTTTAAACCTTCCAGCGTCTCCCTCTGAAGGCGCGCTGGGTTGAATGAAGGCTCGGTGGATTGAATTGAGTGCTGAGGGAAGAGCCTGCGAGGAGGGCGAGTTCCTCCCCGCCCGGTTGCGTATCCCGCCTATTAACAGCCGCTGACGAGAAGGAAATTTTGGGGAGGGGCGATGGTTCGATCGGCTCAAGTCTCATGCGGGTTTATAGACTTGGGCACAGCGCTTTGCTCTTTAATCGGCCTGTGTGGATGTAGCACGAGCAGCGGGAGAAACCGCCCTCTCGAGTTCCCTACAGTTCACGTGTTAATGGCAGCGTTTTGCTGAGGGAGGGAACAGCCCCTTACCCCTGTAGCTTCTCTCCCCACCTGTACTCGGTCACCCTGTTAACCTCACCAGCAAAGGTTTGCGGTTGGTGCTGAATGTGGCAACAGCAATCTGTTGTTATTGTTTAAATGAGGGCTATTTCCACTGTGAGTTTGCTAAACAAGATCTTTTTCAGTTGGGATGCCGAGGTGCAGAGACGCTGGGAAGGGCGCAGCGGGCAGTATAGAATCAGAATTGTCTAGGTTGGAAAAGACCTTGAAGATCATCCAGTCCAACCACCACTGAACTGGTCTTGCCTGTTCTCTCCTCCCCGCCACGGCTGTAGGAGCTGACACAGGGCTGGCCTTGCCAGGGCTGGAGATGAGCTGCAGCAGGGAGGTGGGTGAAGGCATCGCCCCACCATGTCATTAACCTGATGTTACCTGGAGGGGTTCACGGTTGTTTGTAACACTGGAGCTGCCTCTTGGCATCCCCCGGCAGCACTTGGTGAAGTTGCCCCAGGGTGAATGTGAACCCAGTGCCTGGAGGTGCACATTCCACTCCTTGTCTCTTTAAACCTTTGCTTCTCTTTTCCTGGCAGTGATGTGGGGGACCAGTGAGTCTGCACAAATTACCGCTTCAATGCTATTCAGCATCTTTTTAGCATAGTAGCTAATAACTTTGATATATTTGAAAGCTAGAGAACTGTGCCTTTCTTGGACCTTATAAAGCAGTTGGCAGGTTCATGTCTCTTTGGTTCCTGTGAATCTTCTGGTTCAAGACTTGGTGGTGACATCACTCTGGCATAACTAATAATTTTATCGGGGAACAAGCAAATTGCCTTAGACCACATCCACTTGACTTAAATTTATTAGGGATTTCTGTGTTCCCCCTTGGCTGCCATCCTGCTTCCTCATGTATGTTATAGGTTTCAGTACTCCCTTTCCTGTTTTATCCCCCTCGTTCTTCCTACTGGTGCTGATGGTTCTTGGTGCCCTCCTTTTCCTGGTTACCCTTGTCCTCTGTCTTCCCCCCAATTCTCTTTACTCTTGTCAACATTTTAAAACTCTCCAAGGAGATCAGGGGAAGTTTTATAGAAATTTTGGATGATGGAAGCTATCAAATAGTTACTTTACTGCCTGTAAAGATCAGTTCTTCAACTTGTCCATAGATAATTGCAGAACTAACTACACTGCACTCACTATCTCCCTCTTTCTGATTCTCCCATTTGGAAGTGGATGCTGTCTGTTGGGAGCTGGAGCACTCCCTGCAATTCTGGAACTGGTAAATCATGGTCTTTGAAAAAACACACCAGAAAAATGCTGTGGAGACTGGGGCAAAGAGGGTATCTGCAGTAAACGAGGTCTTCAGGAAAGCTACTAAGTGGAGGTTGCTGCAGTGAGATGTTGGTGTCCTATGGTTTGTTACAAGGGTAAAGGAGTCCCTTCACTGCTTTGTTGCCTCCCTAGTCCAGAGCATCCCTTCCTCTGGAGGAGGTCTTGCCTCTATTTAAGATTTCGATTTTCTGCTTGGTTTGAAACATGCAGGGCTGTTGCCCACCTGGACTCTGAGCTTTCTGGTATCTGTATGCTTCCTACTGCTTTTCCTTTGTTCTGCTGCTGATGGCGCGCCATGAGTGATGCAGAGGGCAAATGTTAGAAAGCCACCCCTAAGGCTTAACACTAGGGCTGACATCATGGTTGCTGGCCTGGCATCAGCAGCCCTTTACACCAGCAGAGACCCTTTTCAAGGGGGCATTCAGACCACCCTGAATTCAAAATCTTAGCACTGACAGCAAGTGCTGGCAACCCATGGGCTGCCTGTGCTGTCTGGGGCCAGGTGGGACAGTGAGGATGAGAAGACAATGTCCCCATCCCCAGCATACCCTCCTATCCTATCTACCTCTCCCTGGTTCCTAGCTTTCCATTTTTTCCACTGGAGGAAATTAAAGAAGTCCTGAAAAGAGAGACAAGATTGTTTCCCATGAGCTTGCCCCTGAAAGAAAGAGGAACCCCGTGTGGATACATTTGGTACAGGTGCCCAGCTGATACCTAGGCTGGGAGAAAAGCTCAAGGCAGGCTGAACGCAGGTGCCTGTAAATGTCCACTCGGCAGATCTGGGATCTTCCGCTCCCAGGGGGACCCGCTGGAAACTCACCTTTGACCTGTCACCAGAGTGCTTCAGTGCTTGCCAGACTTCAAAGTCAAGAATCATTAAACCATTCTGGAGTACAAATACCATATTACAGATAGAAATCTGTGAGCAAAGACAACTGAATAATTTGTCTTGTGTTGGGAGGAAGACTTGGGTATAGAAGCCAAGTCCCTTGAGTGTCCATTCTGAGGATGCCTCTGTCTCTTAGGAGCAGTACGCAGCATTGATTCAAGCAGAGCTCACAGGACCTCTGGTTGGAGGGGTAGTGGCAGGAGGCACTGGAAGAGGCAGAGGCAGCTGGTGTGTGCAGGGAACCGGAGAAGGGTGCAGGAGGAATAGGGGGGAGAGGATGGTGACCTGCACAAAGGCCAGAGGAAGGAGCTGCTGCAGGTGGTGAGAGGTTGGCACAGCCACCAGGATCTGCAGATGGGGAGATCTGGTGATCTTGTGTCTCTCAAAGCACTACCGTTCTGAAAGGGTTACCTCAGTTTCCTGAGCTTAAAGCATGTGAAACACAGACATGGCAAGAGCAGAGAGAGAAGGAAAGAATTTTTCAGAAGCTAAAAAAATAACAAATGAGGAATTAAGCCTAAATCTTGTGTTGTGGCAGGGTTAGGGGAGAGGGAATAGGAAAATGTAGTTAAGGGGGGGAGGG